TTTCAATTATTTCAATTCGGGGGGGGCCAGATAATTGAAATAATTGAAATCCCTTCTATCTTCAGTTGGCGCCAGTCAAAGCCCCACATTGAAATAGGGGGGGGGAGGGGTATGATGGACACTTGCGGGCTATTCACGGACGCAGAGAGACCTGCTTTGCATAGCACAGCACTGTTCAGCTCCTGTCCGGCCTCATAGGGCCTCGGCAGAAAACCTGCACCAAGACTTCCAGCCGGCACATCCTCCAAAGCTTCTGCCTTGGCGACAAAGCAAAGCTGCACGGAAGACGACTAAAACGCTAATCAACGACATTTTCAAAAGAGCGGCAAGTGTATGTGTACGTGTATGTATATATGTATGTATGTATGCATGTATGTATACATGTATACATATGTGTATTGTATGTATGTATGTATATGCGTGTGTGCCTTATTCAGCTTTTTTCAGAATCCGAATCGCTGTGACAGGTTCCTCTTGGCCCCATGCTGGTGGAATACACTGACAAGGATGTAGCCAATAATCATCCACTACAGGAGTTCCCGGGTCATCCAGGATCAATGCCGACACCACCTCTGATTCCTCCAATTTCCCCTCGACAGTCTCAGATTGCGTCACATTCGGTGGACCGCAGGATGGAATGAGCCTTGCAGTGATTGCAGTGCAACCCATCTCAAACACAGAGTTCTGAGCCACTGCGATATGATATGAACATCTCAGAGTCAGTATATGCATGCTTTGATTTCATGCTGCCCAGAGGCACTGATGCCTGACCCTGCAGCTCATTGGATGTTGTTGCGACACGGATGTCCAAAGGGGAGTTGTCAAAGGCGTCTGTGACAAGGTTCCAGTTGTTCTCATCTACCATCGGTTTCAAGCACGCGGCTCCTGTCAACACATGTGGGCCGCGTGGTCTGACCTACAATCTGTCTGTCTTACGGAATGGTGACTACACTACTCATGTCGTGCTTTGATACTTTGCTCTTGTGGATCTGGGCATGAAGGGAAGGAGATCGAGGCTTCTGCATCTGCGAAAGAAGCTGCCTTGCCTGCTCCGTAGAGCTCGACGTAAGAAGACGTGTCGTTCAAGTAATCATTTTGCGGATCCGACCTGAGGGGGCAGCTCCCTGGCTCGCACCACACAAGGGTTTAGGGTTTAGGGTATGGGCCGTATGGGGTATTTTTTGACACTCACACTCGGACAAGCCTGGCAAGGTCCACCACGATACTGTCTTCAAGAAACGTTAGTATGGGGTATAGGGTTTCGGGTTAAGGGCTTAGGAGGTCTCACCATGCTGCAACCAACTGGGATGCGGGCTCTCTGAGGATCCAGTGATTGCCTGCAAGACATGCCGAACCCAGGTTCGTGTTGTCTTCCTCACCAAAAACGAGCCAGAAGGAATCCTGCTGCGTGCGCCCTTCCTTCAAGAAGACCTGGCCATTCTCACCGTCTGAACTCTCACCAGCGGGGCAGAACTCTCCCGAGAGAAAAGCAGCATTGGTGATCTTCATCTCCAAGCAGCTCGTCCGCTCTGCGCAGCCGGAGTACTTGGCATAGACTTCGACCGCATCCAAGCAAGTAGTCTCTGAAGGAACACACAGCTGGGAGTATTTAATGCAATCAAGCGATGAGGTGTGCCGGTAGTGAGTGCAAAAGAAATCCCTTGCACAAAGGCGTCGGCACTGGATTTCCGTACCACCTGACTCGACCAATTCCTCTTGCTTAAACCTGTGGGTTTGTCGTATCCAACAGTTGGTGTCACGAGCTTCGATGGAGATTGTGTGGGAGAGGACAGGGCCTGTCTGCAGTGGAGGCCACTCGTAAAGAGCATAAATGACGAACTGCGCGGTAAGCGACGCCCGAGTTGGACCAATTTCTAGCTCTGCCAGCTCTTCTGCCGGATCCAGCTTAAGGGCCCCGGTCTTCACATCAAGTTGGAAAAGCTGATAGGAGTCATATGTCATGACGCCTGTGAATATGTCAAACACGTACTTGCTCCTCTCATCCTGGCAATTGCAATAAATCTTCTCTGCCAGACCGCTCTAAGTGCCTATTGCGTGAAACTAGAGGCCACTTAGCGCACACAAAATGCCAGCAAACCTGAATGTCAAGCCAGTGTAACAATCAACAGCAAGCAAATGTTTTATGACTACGAAAAAGAACGGTGCATTGTCATCCAAAAATACATGCTTTGCAAAACCTGGACAGTCTCATGATACAGTGTACGAGTCAGTTGGCGCTTTGGGAGCGCTGTGTGTCTTTTGCGAGCATGGCATTTCTTGCGTGTGTGCATTTTCAGCTGTGTTCAGCGCTGGCTGCACAATAAACATCAATTAACTACGTTGTTTTGGACAACCCCTATACATGCTGGCAGAGACTGTTACCAAAAAACAATTGCGCCCAGCATCCCTACTTGTCACTGATAGCAGGCATGCCCCGACAGCATGATCAACAAGTGAAACACATGCATCCACGCATCTGTCAGGAAGACTCCTGCATCGTAGTTCTCGCAATTCGTCACCAGTTGGGCATTTCGAGCCTATTCTGCCACCAGCTTTTGATGGCGCAAGTTACGCCGACACAAACCCTGAATGTGACAGGGGTAAGAGACGCATGTTGCGCTGCTGGAGCTATGAATACAATCGGGAAAAAGCCTAGGAGAGCTTCTGCGCCACACGGCAGACATTCGTCTGGAAGAGATCGGGATTTGTGCGCTCGTGCAGATATGTGTGTGTGTGTGCGCAACTTTAAACTTCTCCTCAGGCCAGGGCAAATCCTAGAAGTCCCTGGAAACTATCTGGCCGAATCTAGCCCTCTGGCCGCTCAAGTCTCTGAAATCTTCCAAAAGCTCCGGTCCTGGGTGATGTTGCTGACGGTTGCTGAGAATCTGCTGGGGGCAAGCTTCCCGGGCTGCTCAACGGGCATCAAGACTGGAGCTTCTTGACCGAATGTCGCATAAAGCGTGTCTGGGTCATACTTCAAAAAGCTCCAAATGTGAGGCACAACTGCCATGAATGAAGACGTGGCACCATTCCCCGACAGTGAGCAGATTCCGCCTGTGATTTCAGAGAATGGATCAATGGACACTCCTCCTTGGCTTTCCGTGACTACACCGGCCAAGGTGACACGCCAAGTGCTCGGTGCCACAGTGGTAACCTCTTCTAAGTTGTGCGGAACGCAGGACACCGATGGCGGGTCCACCAAGCTTGGCCCACCGGGCTGCAAGGCAGGTGAGCTTGCAGTTGCTTCGAGCTGTACTTCCACATAAATCTCAAGCGCTGCTGGACTTGAGATGCTTTCGTTGCATGCAAGGTCACCTGGAAAACAGGCAAAGATGCCGCTCCCAAACTCTGTGCTGTCACTATTGTAGCCACCATAGATCTGAAGAGATCTACCTCCTGCGCTTGTCTCCGCCACGCAAATGCTTAAGCGGCTCGGTCCTCCTGGATTAATTGCTGGTCCGTTGCATGGGACGCCGCTGGAGCTTTCGCCGTAGCGGCTGGATGGCTTGTTGTATTTCCAGATGTTTTGAGCCGACTCCGAGAGAACCGCACCACCACTTGCACCAACGTTATTTGGGTTGATCGGCTGGGCAAACGGGTTGTTGTTCGAAAGGAAGCGCTCAGTTCTGAGATATTCTGGTCCACCCACAAAGTTCCGGACCACAAAACGAAAACTGCTCACATTGGGAAGTGTTGGGCACTGGTTGCCAATCGCGTTGGGGTCAGCAAAATCTGATGCACCCCACGATTCGTAGATCCAAGTGTCGCCATCAACCGCCGCAGTTGAGGCAACACGAGCACAAAGCTGAACCGCACCTTCGCCAGGGACGAAGATCAGGGGATAAGAGCCGTAGGAGGGGCCCGCGGCGACGGTGACGCTCAACTCTGCTTCAGCAGTGAGGCCAGAAGCTTCGCGTGCGGTGATGGTGCATGAGACACTGAAGGCTTCAGCGGCGCCGCAGCCGACCTGTTTCTTGCGACGAGGTCCCATTCTCCCACCCCTGACTCATCCTGACCACACTAACTATTCCCAACTTTTCTGTATTCCCGAGAAGGGCCTCACAAGCTCCAAAACACGATAGCCTCAATCCCCAAATAAAAGAACAAAGTGTGAGCACAGACTGCCCACCTGAGTGCAGCCTGACTTGAGTTTCAACTCACCTGTACGGCCGTCGATAGTTAAGCCGAACTGGAGCAGTTGGCAACCATCATTCACAAAGTAATCGGAAGCAGTCCGTGGTACTGGGTGCCCAACAACGCTGGTGGATGTTAGGACAAGAGGTCCCACATAGTAACTGAAGGGAGTGGCAGCCCGGTGGCCGCCGCCACACCTGCAGCAAGCTTCCCTTGCTGAGACGTCTTTCACCTTCTCGCCTTGACAGTCTGCGTCCGCACAAGATTCGCCGGAACGGCCTTAGTCTTCACCAAACATTTAAACAAAGAAGTATGAATACATACGTATATATGTGTGTATGTATGTACGGATCATTAAAGATTCCACTGTCGCAAGCTCCAGCACACAGTTCCTGGGAGCCGCGCTCCTCCATTCAAAGTCCATGCATGCTTCGCAGCCAGAAGCTGTAGCCACGAAACCCCCAAGGCACTGGTCGCATGCAGCACCTGATGAGAAAACAGGGGGAGAAACTTGTTAGTTAATACCTTGACAAATACCTTACGTGCAAGGTTCACAATGAACATAAGTGAACCTAAACCCCAAACCCTGAAGCCAATAAACCCTAAACCCTACTGTAAAGAAGGATGTGTTAACCGCCTTAACATCCAGTTACATCCAGCTTCATAGCCAAGGCACCGTTGGAGGCCAATGATGCGCAGCCTGAACAAAAAGTGTTCTGATGCCCGCAGCAGGCGTACTGGCCGGTTGATGGGTCGAAGGTGGCAACCTCCGTGTCCAAGTCACAAGGGATGTGCCTGAGCATGGCAAATCAAAACTCAAGCATCGAGAACGGCTGTTTTATCTGCACAAACTCGGCCTGGTGCAGGCAAGGCTCCCCTGAGCTGAAGTCGATTTCGAAACCAACTTCAGCTTTTTCATATCATTCATATCTGACGCTCCCCTTGCCCTTGCTCTAGCGGAGCTAGCCGAGCACAATCCAAAAGTTGCATTCATCTTCGTATCCTTGCGAACGGCCAGCGGCGTCTGCGACTTTCCCACAGGCTTCGAATGTGTTGGAATTGGAGGCCCAACTCCGGGCTTGGGCAGCGGCAGCTTCATGGACTCTGCGGGGCCCATGTCAGGGCCCAAAGACCGAGCCGCCCTGGGAGCGAACGTCGGCTTTGGATGCCGTGGGCGCTCACTCAAGGAGCCCGCGATGCTTGTATGACTTACATGCTTTCCTCTGTCTGACTTGGTTGACCACTCTTGCGAAAGTTCTTCCAAGAGTACCTCATGCAGCTCAACAACCAAAGACTTGGATCCTCCAGCGCCATGCCCCGCTTCTGCCTAGACTGCAGCCAAGGCGCGACACCGCTGTTGTTAGTACTAGTGGATGTGGCCTGCACACTCGTAACAGCAAGTGGTAACAAAGTCTGGATGCGAGGCGCTCACAACTGTACTTGACCGCCAAGCCACGCTGGTGGTGGTTTCAATAGACGTAGCTGTTGTCGTGATGGTTGTCGTAGTGGTCGTGGTGGTCGTCGTCTGCAAAGGGCACACACAACAACAAAAAAAAAGGAAGAAGAACGGGTTCCATGATCGGAAACAGAGGCAGAGACTCGATCAGGCAGCGCACCTGAATGCTGATGAAAAGGACGTCCGTGTCATTGCCCTCAACCACACCAAGTACTCCTCCTCTGCCAGGCTGCTGAACAATATAGGCGCATGCATCCTGCGTGAGAAGAAACTCGATGGTCGTTCGAGGATCTAGATCGGGCCCTTGCCAAGTGTCTTCGCACGGCAAGGGCCCTCTTGTGTCATCGGCACAAGCGACTGTGGCACACTCAACAAACTCAACAATCTCGCCGGTCAAGTCTGTGAATTTGCTTGAAACACTGGTGTAGGCAGCAAGCTTGTGGTCGAAGCTGGCATTCCCTGTTCCGCATGTCGTAGCTCTGATTAATCTCTCCTCCATGTCCACATTGCACACCCGAAAAAGCTCCTGGATCTCATCTTCAATCAAGCCACAACCTGTGATGATAGCGCCGTTGCTCCCATTAGAGCTTGCGCGAGCTGGCTGGTTGCTGATGGTTACGTTGCATCCTTCTGCCCCAGTGATGTTGCAGACCTCTTTAACGATAGCACCACTCACGTTGCAAACGCCTGCTGGGAATGGGATTGGGGTAGGCCTTGAGGTCTCTTCCGAAGGCAAGTTTTGAACCACTTCCTCAGTGAAATTGGAGAGAACATCTGTGGCAGACTCTGCAACCACTTCGGGAATCGTTGCGACTGTCTCTTCCAACTCCTGCGTGGTGTTCTGAAACTCTTGCTGGGTGTTGCCCAGCTCTTTCGTGGTGTTCCGCAACTCCTGGTGGGTTTTCTGCAACTCCTGATTGGTATTCTGCAGATCTTCTGCTACATCCTTCAAGTCGGTGCACGTGGAACAAGGCGGCTTGTCGTTGTAAGCATGGTGACGGCGCCCTCTGAACCGGGGGATCAGGGAACTATTCCCCTGTGAGCCATGGAGACTTGCTGTGTCGACAGACAGTGATGGCTGCATCTGTAACAAGGCAGCCGGCTCGCCCTCATCCCGGAGTTTTGCATCACATTGATCCGACTGGTCCGATGGGTCCGCGTTCCTGGCTAGAACCGTCACTGCGCACAGGACGAGAGCCATCATGGCAGGAAGCATCCAGAACCTTTGGCAAGCTATCATGGCGGGAACTATGGCAGGAAACTAGGGCCGAGCTTTGCCGGCTTCGCCAACCGGACGATACACAGTTTTTTGAAGACACATTTGTGCATACAACTACAGGCTCCTGTCTTCCAGGTCACTTGCCATAATTTGGTCCAAGCTGGCCTCACTCCATGTAATCCAATCTAGCCTCCGCAATCCACCAAGGACTAACCATGAAGAAGCGCTATTTGAAGAGCCGCCGCTCTTTCGGCGCTCACACTTGGGCAATCCAGGCGCCGGCTCTTTGTGGTCTTGTAGTTTCTCGGCTAACGGCGTGTGGGCAATGCCGAAACTTTTTGTTGAGGCCCTTCTTTCGAAACGCGCATTGCTCCTCCAACTCTAACTGATGCTAAACTTGAAAAGAGCTACTAAGCGATGGCTCCGCCAGGAGTCCCGCAAATGCAAGGAGGGCATCCCGAGCAAAGGGCCTCCAGCAGCTGTACATAAAACCACCGCGGCACTCCCGGTGTCTCCGGCGGACCGGACAGTGGAATGCACCCTGCCCGTGTAGAGAGTTCTCGGGGGGTTTAGATCTTCCTGTGACCGCCAACGACGCCTCCAATGCGACAGGAGGTGAAACGATTGGAAAACGACGCACTTGGCTGGCGCTGGCGTACTAGTCGTGTCCCAGAGCATCCTGGGTGCAAAGGCCATCCAGGAGATCGAAACTACCGACTTCACAAGGCGATCGCCCCACTCACCGAATTCTTCTGCGGCGCACCTGTGACGGTGACGCCTCAAAGATCGGCCCAGCCAGCCACAGGGAGTGCAGGCCAGTGCAGGCAGCTCCGACAAGCACTCAGGGCAAGGCCCGGCAAGCGGGGTCTTGGCTCCCATCAGAAATCAGGCCTCCTCGCAATCGACGCCACCACGAGCAACGTGCTCACAAAACATAATTACTCAGCAATGCACCCCCCCCCGCTCTGCACAAAAGACGTGCAAAGCACCAAGGCGGGGACGATGGCCAAAGTTCCAGCCTGGCGAAGATGGGCGAAGTACAACGCACCCTTTCCCCACTGTCGCTGAACCCGCAGGCTGAAACCTCTAATTCACCCGCCGCCGGCTTGTTTCCGTCGTTTGTGTCCGACTTCCACAGCCTCCGAATGCGAAAAGGCCGAGGTCGCAAAGGCTTACTGATTTCATCTGAAGCACCTGGCATGCCAAGTGCAGTGCAACTACCTACATTCAAACGTTCCCACTCGGGAGAATCACCGACGTGCCGCTGACCATTCTTCAACCCTGCACTGGCACTGATGCTGTCCATCATCTTTCCAAACTGAGATGCTCAGTTCCTTGCGGCACCGGCACAAGCACCTGCACTGCCCATCGGGCACAGACTGTGCATGTGCCAAGACTTACAGCCCCACTATCTTTTCTACTTCCGAAGGATTCCGAAGTTGCAGTCGATGCACAACTTGCGGAACAGTGGGAGACGCTTTCTGATGGCATGCCAAGGCAGCCACCATCTCATTGACTTGTGCCACATTGTTCCTGTCCAGGCTTGGTTTTGGTGGTGGTACTGATTCAAACACAGGCGGGCCCTTCCAAGAGACGAGCACAGCAGAAGATCTTGTTAGGAGATTCCTTCTTGTCTGGCATCTGCAGGGCTTGTTACTCGTTTCACAGGGGGTGCGCTCCACAAAATGCGATGTGCTCAAGGCCTGTTGGCACACTTTGTAGTCTCCATGTCCTCCGAGGTCGTCCAGTTGCCGTCCACTATGAACTTGAACTCGTACCTTGGCCAGGCAAAGACTTTAAGAGTCGAATGAGAAGCACCAGTTGCCACGGTCTGACGAGAGTCCAAATGACTCCGAAAGCATTGTGCAGCAAGGCTCGACATCGTGACTTGCTGAAGGCACTAGGGCAGCCAGGGCTTCGGCTCACCGGCAGGAAGGAGAAGCCTCAAGAGCCGAGGAACGAGAAAAGCGGATGCTGAAGGGTACAATGGGACCACGGCATAATCCGGAACCCAACTCCAGGACAGGGCCTCAGTGTGCGAATCGAGAAGACTTTACAGGAGGTGGACCTTTGAGCATCTCTGGAAGGCGTTCCGCATAGGAGACTCGGTCGTGAGTGACACCGCGCCAAATTAAACACGGGAAGCTGCATTAGGCAACCGCGCAATCGGCTTGGTGATTTGGGGCAGCTGCTCCAACGCGTAGTCGCGCTTCCAGCCATCCCAGGAACCCCTCACGCGCACGTCGCGCCTGGGATAGAGCAGAGTTTACAAGCTCCAGGCTCCAGGCAAGGCGACAAAGCAGGTAACAAGACGATGCGCGGCTGTCGAAGTGCAATCGCAATCTGGGATCCTCTCGCGCAGCTGGTGTTCCACTGGAGCGGTAGAGGTCCAGCCTCAAAGCCAAAGTTACAACCACAGCTGGAACAAATGTTCTATCCGTCGCTTTTGCCGCTGCTAGTTTTCTCGGACGACGACGGATGCTTTGTGTTTTCGAGTTTCCCATGCTCTTCAACAAGTCAGTCGAGCGGCTGCCCGGTTGACCAACGATGCCCGCCTTGTCTACACAGAAACTAGCAAGCGCCCGAACCGAAGATGTCGTTTCTATAATAAACTACAACACAATATAGCACACTATGGAACACTATGACATACTACAATATGTTATATTAGTTAACATGAACTCCATACTGCACTAGGATATATGCTATATTATATATGTTATAAGTAATGGCTTTCGAAGCAATGTACGACGGATTTCTCGCGGGCCCCAGCCCGAGGGATGCCGGCGTTCAGCTTCCTTGCGGCCACCTTCGCTGCTGCGATGCGTCGCAGAAAGGTTTGGGGTTTCGGCGCTCACAGGGTTTGGAGTCCCCAGGGTTTCAGCACTCTCAGCTGGGAACAGGCCTGGCGAGGCTTAGAACTTGGGGTTCGGCTGGGCACACGGTCCAACGGATCTGTGCATCAAATATCCGAATGCACAGCTCCGAGCCACTATGCACCAATGAACTCAAGCGCCATGGCCTACGGCAACGAGTTAAACTGAATCGACTAAAGCTCTTTGAGCTCCTGGCCATGGCTAGTCTATCCTGATCCGTGGGCTCGGCGGCCGGGGCTGGCCTTAGTAGCTCACGGCTTTGAAGGAACTTTGAAGTGAAGTCGAAAGTAAAAGGAAATGGGTAGCAGCATTTTGAGCAATAATGCTTGGCGAAATGTGTTCTGGGGGGACTGCTGACAACCTGCAGCGTCTGCAAGAGCAGCTATGATGTTTCCCACCCGCACAGCTGACCAAGTCGCAGCTTTGATGGACTGATTGGTTGCAGCATGGTGCAGCCTTACAAATCCTGCATGGCAGCAAGAAGAAGACCAGAGAAGCAAAGCTCAACGCTTGGGGCCACACAACGCCTTGCTGTCTTGAGTGCTGCCACCCTGTGTCCCGTTTGCTGCGTGCCCGTTGGCCTCATCCGAGAGCCCATGTACATCGCAGAAGAGGGGCCCTCCGGCCGAACCTGCGGCTGTGGAGACGGCGGCCGGTACTCGATCGCTGGCCCAGTAGGCGGCGGTCTGAGACGAGACAAAAACGGCAGAGAACTGTGGCATCTTAGCATGACAACAACCATAAGTAAGGCCAGGGCGGCGTTGGGAAGCCAGGTGCTGCCTTGCACAAAGTCAGGAGGGAACGCCTCTGTCCCAAAGCGGTCATCCAGTTATCCATGGACCACCCAGTTCAAGGGTCCGTACTCCATTATTAATCGTCACAGCAGTGGTGGTGGTGGTCGTCGTGGTGTAGGTCACCGCCTGCAGACTGGCTCGCCACGCTTGCACCGATCCAACGTGAGATCTATCGCTGTGCAACATTGAACATCAAGGCTCTTACGTGGCCAGCGGCTGCCGCATGACCAGCCAAGAGGGCTGAAACCTGTTCGGCAGTGCGAAGCAATGGCAGGGCAAAGAAGCGCCCCCGCCTCGACATTCGGCTGTGTGGTCACGGCCACGGGTCCCGGCGCAGCTCCCGACGCGCCCGAGGGCGACGACGGCCCAGGCGTCGGTGCCGGGGCCACTTTGGCAACCTGACCTGGCACTTGTCAGCTTGCGTACTAGATCTCTCGATGTGATGTGTATGGCTGGGCTCATCGTGGTTTCGGGGCCGTAATGTCAAAGCGAAGCAACCATTTGGAAGAAGACTGCTCTGCATGGTGAGAGGCGCTTTAGATCGTCGAGTTTCAGAATGCTCAGCAGGGCTTACGACGCACTGTGCAAGGCCTGACTCTTCGGATGCCGCCAGGGCGGCCCAAAGCTGCAAAACTTCGTGCAAGCGATCTTTTCTTCTGCAGGCATCCACACTTCGCCGCGTGCCCGCCCCCGATACTTGAGGAGGTCGTCCTGGATGTCCAGAATTCGACTGTCGTAGTGCCTGACATCCGCTAGCAACTGCCAACTGAGCAGCCAGGGCCACGGACCCACGGACTCCACGGACTAGGTGGAATCCAAGTTGCAGGTGATGAGACGGCCGCCATGCCTCCGACACGTTACCGCCTCAGGGCTGTGAGTTTCAGGTGCTACAGTAGCAGAGTAGCAGACGCCGAACATGGACCCCAGGGTGCACTGCTGTCCTGCACCGAGTGATTATTTCTTGCATGGACATGCATGGACCTTGTCGCTTCGCACCGTCTTTCCCCCCCTTTCGCAGCACACGCGTGCGCTGCATGATGCTACAGGTCTCGGCATCTTTTCCAAACACCATGTCACCAGATCAAGAAGTGTGCTCTTGTGGATAAGCTTCTTCAACACCCTAAACCCTAAACCCTAAACTCCTAAACCCTATAAACCCTAAACCCTATGCTTTTGCAAGGTGGCGAATTACACACATTCCTCGAATCTTCCCGCCCGGGCCCGGCGGGCAAGCCTGAGCCCGCGAGACACCGCAAAAATCTGCCGAGGTGCTTCGACTTTGCTCAGCGGACACCAAGCCTTTGTCAATGGCTTCAGACTGTATGATAGATATGTATGTATAGACATATATATATATATATCCGGTCCAGGTATGTATATATATATATATTATATACACATACGTATATATACATACATACATACATACATACATACATACATACATACATACATACATACATATATGTATAATACCTGTCTTTGCGTTTTCTGTCTCTGTCTCTCTGTCTTTCTGTCTGTCTCCATGTATGTATGCATGCATGCGCTTATATATATATATATATATGTATATATATATATATATGTGTGTGTGTGTGTTTATGTATATTTGTACCGACCAGATAAAAGAAAAACTGCCATAAACAATACAAACATACGTACATCCATGCATGCACACACAGACATAATACATTATGCATGCATGCATGCATGTTTGAATGTACACCTACCGGGACCTACCGTCCAAACGAAGGTCTCAAGGCGTCACAGGTGGTCGATAGTCTCTCTTGGGGACAGTGTGATCTGTGCCGTCCGAATCACTCCCGAGAGGGAGGGCTACGTATCGGCCCAGACGGCCGCAAACCGGCGCGCCGCAAACGGCACAGCGCTGCCTCGTCACCTCGCAGCAGGCCGTCTCGGTTGGCAACCGAATTTTGCTTCTATCAGCTTCGTACCCCAGCTCTTGGTCCCGGCCCCTCTTCATGAACAGAGGCTACTGCCTGCTTTGATGTGTGAAGCTCGGACAGCTGAGGGAGACCGCCCTGTCGACCTTGGAGAAAGGGTTCGACTCGGTGCGACTCCCGGGATGTATGGAGAAGTGAGCGACAGCGTGTCAAGTCCGGGGAAAGCATCACTGAGTCCTAGGTCTTAGGTTATTCCAAAAAGTGCAACAAGAATATATGTGCTGACGGAGAGCCTCTACACGAAGAGTGAACAACATGAAACCCCAACAATCAGAAGCTCTGAGTCCACTTATGCCGGGCTCCTGGCTCCGAAGCTCAACACGCTCTGGCCTGGGGCCGGGCCGCACGATGACTGAGATCCCACCCTAGCGTCGCATCCATTGCATCCATGGGGAGGCCATCCCGTCATATGGTCATAGGTGCGTCCTTCCATGCCCAAAACCTCGTGTCAGGAACCTCGCTATGCTCCGAAGAGAACGCGCGCTCCCCGTTGTGTTGCAGCTGTCGAGAATGAGAAAGATAGCACTTCGCATGTTTTCAGCAACCCAGCCGGGGAGGCCGGGACTTCCTCTGTAGCTTCGTCCCCAGTCCCCCTCCAGCCTTTGTTGCTGAATGGAAAACTGTGACTGTGACAGTCTTCATTCTCTTCATGCAACTGCGTGTCCGCGACCGGATCTGCAAATCTGCAATGCATCTTACTACTGCTTTGACATGCATGCATCTGAGTCACAGGGTGCCTTTACTATCACTAGCTACGAGTATCATGGTAATTGCTACCATCAGCTCTGATCTCCTGCATGCTCTTCCTGCTCTAGTGTTCCTATAACGTTACTACTAAGGGACCAACTATGATTTCTTTAGCCGCCCCGGCATGCTGACGCAATATTGGTCCAAAGGCCTCATGATTTGTCCAGTCTCTGTTGCAGGTGCTGAGCCGCGGGCCTGAAGACGGCGCTAGCAACGAAAGGAGCTCCAGAAAGTCGCCTGCATGAAATCCGAGCTCATGGCACTGCAAAAGCACTCACTGACTGCCTGCCTGGCTTGCTTGCTGGCTTACTTTGTTTACAAGCGCTTTGCATTCGCTGGTGTCCAATGGCGTTTACACATGAGGCATGAGGCAGCGCAACACAGACACTCTCTCGCAGGCCCTCTCTTTCTTAATTTACTGTCGCGGCACTTCGGCTCTCCATGCTTGGTCTCTAGCTCTCGCCTTGAGCCTACTGGGCTAGACCTTTCCGGGCAGGAATTAACGAGACTGTCGTGCAGATGCCATTGAGTAATTGCGAAGGCAAAAAGAATCAAGTCTAGTGGATTTTCATATGGGCAGTAGAGTTCAGAATCCCCTCGAAGGAGACAGACATCGCAGGCAGAGTGCTTGGGGAAAGCCTTGCATTACTGCGAAACGGCCTAGGACTGGAAAGCCATCTCGGACCGAAGCTTCAGCGACTGCACATCTCCCCCGAAACTCAGCATCAAGTGTATCTTCGGAGGGGTATGCTTGAAAATTGCATCTTCCGCCAGGGGCACCAGAAATTGTCTGTGAAAGAGCGTCCTTTGGTTGAAGGCAGACTCTCACTCCCTCGCGGGCATGAGAAGCTGACCAGGCTCCGCAGGCCACAGGCCCACTCAGAATCGGGCAACGGGGAGGTGAAGTAAGAGCCATAGCCGTCCATTGTGCAACCACTTTAGTATCTTGCTTGCTGCCTTTTTTTGCTGGCTAGGGGGTGTGGGAGCCAGAAGGCGGCCTCTCCCTGTCCCTTCACTTCACTTCACTCCGGGCAAGCCCCCCGCGCCGAGTGGCGCGCCCCTGTTGTCGGGCTTGGTAAGGGGGAGTGAAAGCAGCAATCCCCGAGCAAAGCCGTATTAACGATATGGTTCTCTATCTCTCTCGCTCTCTCTGTCTGCTCTTGGTGTGCTGTTCCTCAACATGGTCGCACCTGCATATGGAGCAGTGGCAAATCGACACCGAAACAGGGTCGCCAACTGCACGGGCCACAACAGCCTCGAGTCATCAGCATGACTTGAGTGGGCTTTGCAATTTAGACATCCACATGAAGCATTGTTGGCTGCTTGTCATGTCACAAGATGCAAGGCCATCCAAGCTCCACACAAGGACGACATGTTTGAAATCATATTTGTAACAACGATGATCGTATTTGTCACGATTGTAAGGTATAGTTTACAGCAGTAGTGCTGACCATGACCGTGGTAGAAACAATGATGACAATCATCGTAGTTCGAGGAATGAAAATTTGTCATCATGAAGGACCGGTGTGATTGCTAGCCGTATTGAATCACTGAGGCATCAGCTCCGCAGAAGCAGGGAAACTCGCGGATTGTAGAGGAGACGTTGGAAGCTGAGTCGCCCTGCAATGCATGGATCAGATGTAAGCCTGTAGAAATGAATGAGTGTATGTATGCATGCATATGCATACATACCTACCTCACTCCCTCCCTGCCTGCTTAACTGCCGACTTAACTGCCCGCATCTAACCACCTAGCTACCGATGCACTGCCGATACAGCTGCAAATACATGCTAGTACCAACAAGTACGTCTGTAGAGTCCAAAGTGCAGGCTGGGGTTTCGAATTTAGACGTTCAAGATCTCGACTCGCACGCTCTGACAAGGCAGGCACAAGGCTTAGGCGGCTTAGGGTGACCCAGTGCCTCCGCAGGAAGGTCAGCAACATCCTAGCAGCAGCCAGAAATTAATTGAGCAAGTCAGGCACTGAGAAGCTGACATTGAGATGCGAAATTCTCAACCTGCGGCTTAGCCTCGGTTGCCTCCTCGAGCTTCAACGCGGCGGCCGCGACATCGCGGGCCACGGCAGCAGAGTCCGAGGTATGTACCTGGGCTCATGACGTGACATGAAGATGTGCTCTGGAGTTGGGCGGGTAAGCCGTCGACCGGCAAGCGCAGGATCTGCCCGCTGCCCGCTCGCCCCCTGCTTCACGAATGGGTCCCAACATACCACTGCAATAAGCATTAAACTGGCAAACCCGGGCCTTTTCAGATGGTAGCTGTAGGCCTTGTCGTAGTTTTGCAAGATCTCCTCAAGCGGTTCGACTTCGACATACCTTTACCCAGGCTCAGAGTTCAACCTGGCAAGGCCCAGGAAGGGAGAAATGCGATCATGAGCCGTGCAGCCACAAAAGCAGGAAGGTATGGACAGGTAGCATAAGTAGCAAACCGAAAAACTAACGCCTCAAAGG